CCCGAGAATTGTCAGTCCACTCCCTTTCTATGCCCCTGATTCTATTATATTCACCAGTTTATTTTGTTCATCAGATTTTTTATTCACTTGATTTTTAGATTCACTTGTTGATAGATATGTACTTGTTGTTCATAATTTTTATCTCTTCTCCTGGCACCCCTATAATTCGGATGTTGGCTTGCTTGAAGTTGTCCCAGAGGCTCCTTACACTATCCTCATATTCTTGGATTCTTTTTTCTTTTTGCTTTTCCGGTTGGGTGTTTTTTACTTCTTCGTATTTCAAATCTTTGACTTGATTCTTGCGATCCTCTAGTCTGCTGTTGGATCTCTGCATAACATTCTCTACTTCAGTCAGTGTATGCTTAATTTCTATTTGGTCCTTTTTCATATCCTCGAGGGTCACACTAGATTTATTGAGGGTCTCACTAAATTTATCAGCGGTTTCTAGAAAACTCTTGAAAAACCTTACAACCGTGGTTTTGAACACTATATCCAGTAGCTTGCCCTCCTCCATTTCTGTCATTTGTGACCATCTCTTCGTCTCCGAATTTTGGCTGCTGTGTTGATAGGGTGGCTTTCTGTGCTAGGTGTCCTATAGGGCCCAGTGGCTCAGCCTCCCCAATTACCTGAGGTGGACACTCTTGGTGCACCCCTCCGTGGGCTGCGTGCACAGTCTTGCCATAGTCAAGACTTGATTGTAGTTGGTATCACCGGGAGGAATCGACCTCCAGGCCAATTGGCTGTGAGAATCAGCTGTGTCTATGGTGGGAGAACTTCTGTGCTGGAGACACCCTTATGGGGCAAGACTTGCTTCAGTGGGGCTTTGGTGCTCACTGAGTCTGCCCCTGAGTGTGTCCCTTATGGATCTGAGGAGTTGTAATCTGGATGATGCCACTCTGACTACTGGGTACACTGGCTCTTGGATCTCTAAGGAGGTGCTAATTTAGCCTCTGCCTGAGGCTACCCAGCAGGAGCTATGGAGAGATCCACAGATTCCTCTTCTTTGTTTGGGGTTTGGAGGTGCCCAGATGAGGCACAGCTGTGAAGCAATGCAAGCTGCCGTGGGGTCCCGGGCCTTCTTTTGGATGTTCTGGGTCTCTGTGACCCAGCTGCAGTTTGTTAGGTAATCTTAGATTGCAAAGGGCCAGGTCATCCATATGCAAAAGCCTCTGCGCACAGCTTGTGTGGGGCGGGGTGTCAGGGAATCAACTGGGCGGATCAAACAGCTATGGCAGATCCTCAGTCCTCCACCAAGAGGCCCCAGATCTCAGTGTCCTGCGGTAATTGCCGCAAGCACCTCTGAGAGAAAGCTGCCCTCGAGTTCCGCCCAATGCCAGACAGTCCAGCTTCTCCCCGTATGAGCCTGGGTCCCCAGAGACTAGCCCGGAACTGGAGTTCAGAGCAGGAGCTTGTGTCTCCCTCCTGATTGAAAAAGACAATCGCATCCTCAGTTGCCAGCCCTTTCCACGTGCGCCTCCGCACCTCCTCTGAGTCTCAGTGTGCTTTTCTCTTTCCTTCTAGTTGTAGAATTTCCACTCAGCCAGCCTTCCTGTGGTTCTGGATGATGTCCATTTTGTCTTTTATTTGTATTTTTGAAGTGGTTGTGCGAGGCAGCAATTTCAGGTGTTTACCTATGCCGCCATCTTGGTTTCTCTCCTGTCCTAGAGTTCTTGTTTATTTTTGTGATGTTAAGGATCCATAGGAGAATGTTAGTTTTAAAGGCTCTGCTCACACAAACACACTTTGCAAGATAGGTGGCGCTACACAGCCAAAAGCAGAAATAATTATGAGCTGCAGATTCTGTAACAGGTCTCATTCAAATAATTCGAGATGTCCCCACTTTACTGTTGCACAGCTATTTAGTTTTGTGCATCATGTTAGACCACCATCCACACCAGTATAGTTCTGAGATGCAGCTGATGGCACTGCCAGCACAGCTCTCAAACATGCATAGAAGAGACCAATGGGGCAGTTCTAACAGGCACAGAACAAAACTCAACTCATCACTAGTCTTGTAAAGTATAACTTAGATCAGAATATATTACATATATAATAAATTCACTCACATGATCTTGAACAACTCTCTGATCAGTTAGTAGTGAAAATAAACAAGCCAGCACTATGACTTAAAATGTCAAGTTTTTAAACATGAAATTCCCCAAGAACAACAGCTGGGCCCAGGTGAATTTTTAAACTACATCAGCTTAAAAAGCAGGTAATTATCTCCATTATACCTGTGGTGTTCAGGATAATTACTACATGAAAATACTTATATTGGAGCCTACTGAGTTCCAAAAATCATTGACTAGTTTCTAAAGTTAACAATGAGACCCAAAGCAGTCTATATATGTCAAAACCTTAATTATTAACTTTGCATTTTGTGTGTTTTAATTCTTCCTTTTAGGAGAATACATTTAAATTTTGGATAATACTTTTTTAATGCACTGTGAAGACTCTACTTTAAAATATATATATACATATTTCAGAGAGGAAGGGAGAGGGAGAGAAACATAGAAACATCAATGATGAGAATCATTGACTGGCTGCCTCCGGCAGGCCCCCTACTGACGGGGAATTGAACCGTGACCTCCTGGTTCATAGGTCAATGCTCAACCACTGAGCCACACTAACTAGGCTGAAGACTCTACTTTTAAGAGGCCAGTCCTCACATCAGAAATAACTTTAGCCCAAGAATGAAGCAAGTCAAATAACTGTTTATAGATTTTTACCAAGTTTTACCTAATTTATTTTTATATTCTCAAAATGTAGAAAAGGCAAGTTACAGGCAGAGTTCAAATGCATACATAAGCATTCTTATTAATAATAATTTTAGTTTTATTTTTAGCATAATGTCTAGAATGTTTGTCAAGGTTAAGGAAGTGACAGTGTGAACAAACAAGGGCAAGTTTGTAGTAAAATGCAAAAGTCTGAGGTTAATTTTAGACTTCTTGTTGCTCCCCTCAAAGAAACCAAACGTGACCTTAGGGGATTTTTCCTCTCCAATCTCCTTTTAACATCAGAGTACACAAGACTAACTTGGACTTGCACATAAAGACTTAACTCAATTACTAGCCAAGGTCTCTTAGCTGCTTTCCTTCACTGGCCAGTTTTCTCTCCCTCCTCCCTGCCTGAAAGACATTTTATTTGGCACTTCAGTAATCTATCATTATTTACCAGCATTATCCTTGGACAAGCTGAATAGTGGCAATATAGATGCAAGGAGCAGCCTTGTATTTCTGATATACTTCTAATTTTAAAATCAATTATTAATAACACTCCTTTTATGCTATGATTTGACATGTTTAATAAATATTCTTTTTGATTAACTATGTCTTCAAAGTAAAATATTTTGCTTAATGAAAATAATAAAATACTAATATTATAACAGGATTATTTTTTTAAGTTTAAAAAAAACACTCTAATGTCCTATTTGAAAACATTTTATATCAGATCCTAAATCTTGGTTATCAAACTTTTTCTAATGGATAAATTTTTAAAGGTAAAAAATGTTTCAATTTTCTCACATCCTAAAAGGATAAATAATCTTGTGCACTGCAGACACACATACCTCACTTTGGAGATTAAGGCTCTCAACATCAATGGCAATACACATTAGTCACTAGATAAGCACTTCCTCTGAGACAGGCCATCTATCTCTATCCTCTCCTACCGAATACCCAAAAAGATACATTTTGGCATAGATCTCATGTGAAATAAAGCAACATAAGAAAATAGCTGGCTTACATCTCTGGAGAACTTGGTTTAAGTTGTCTTGCATTGTTTTTCTACATTTGGGAAGAGTATGTTCATTTGTTTCATGGATCATATTCTTCAAATTCTCAAGAACTCGCATTTCTCGAAGACCACGTTTTTCCTATCAAAAGAAAATATGTGACTAGTACATACTGTGTTTAAATCTTAGTAATTACTTTCTGGGATTTCCACCCAGGTTTTGGTTGTTATGTTATTACTTATTACTAAAATTTACAAGGCCTTCTTCTAATTATTTGGCAATAAATGAGATGACACACAATCTGGAGACATTTTTTTATTATTATGAAATGCTTCAAAAGTTGAAAAGTTGCAATATGAGTAATAATTTTTATAGCAATATTTTAAAATGGACAAGAGAGCCCGGCCGGCGTGGCTCAGTGGTTGAGCATCGACCTATGAACCAGGAGGTCACGGTTTGGTTCCAGGTCAGGGCATATGCCTGAGTTGTGGGCTTGATCCCCAGTGTGGGTTGTTCAGGAGGCAGCCGATTAATGATTCTCTCTCATCATTGAAGTTTCTATCTTTTTCTCCCTTTCTGAAATAAATAAAGATATATATATTTTTAAATGGGCATGAGAAATAAAGAACAAAAAATGAGGCCTAAATTATGACATATTTCATTCTGTACAGCAAAAAAATATATTAGATGCCCTTGATTTGATTTTAAATTTTTTTTCATTCTTACCATCTTATTTATACTCTCTATTTTTTACCTGATTCTATTTTTCTCAAGTAAAAGTATGAAGTAAAGGTAATATGAGGATGCTTCCCTATGCAGAAAAGAGCTAACACTGAAGGCCTAAGATTACTATCCTTAGAAAGGCCTGCTTGCAAGATTGGCCTTTGGCTGTGGGCTGGGAACTTGACCAGTAAATAGTTCCTTTCACTGGTATAAAACTTTCTATAAATGATAAGACACCACTTTCCTTCCGGGAGTCTGGAATTTGATACACACTAGGCAGAGATTGCCTACCTGACCAGTCCCCAGTAAAAACCCTGGACTCCTAGGCTAAAGCAAGTTTTCCTGATGGATAACATTCCACACGTGTTGTCACAGCTCACTGCTAAGGAATGAAGAACATATCGTGTGATCCCTAGGACTCTTGGAAGCTTCTGCCTAGTTTCACCCAGACTCCTCCCCGTGCACTTGTTCACTTTGATGACTTTGCTCTGTATTCCTTTGCCATAACACTGAGCCCCCACAACAACCATATGCTATGTCCTTGAGTTCTAGTGAGTCACTGCACTGTGGGGAGCGGGGAGGGTCTTAATATCCCCCACTTGAGGGTGGGCTAGACTTAGTGACTTGCTTCTAAAGAACAGAGCAGGGAAAGAGAAAAATAGTTACTTGACAGTGGAAACAATGATAGTTGATATCATTAGTGATGTCATGGTGATAGCATCCCCTGATGCAATGTGATGACAAGAGCTATTTACTTCTGTGGTACTCTTCCCAATATTCACAACCCTAGTCTAATCTTAAAAAAAAACAAAAAAACAATCAGACAAACCCAGATTGGGGGACATTTTATAGGATACTGGCCAGTACTCAAGACTATCAAGATTATGAAAAACAAGGAAAGACTAAGTAACTGTCACAAACCAAAGACTAGAGAGACACGACAATTAAATGCTAATGTGGTACCCTGGATTAGATCCTGGACAGAAAGAGGACTGTAATGGAAAAACTGGTGAAATCCAGTCTGGTGTTTAGTTAGTAGTAACGTACCAATGTCGGTTTCTTAGGTTTTACCAATGTAGCATGGTAGTATAAGACATTACTAGAGAGAAAATGAGGAAAGGGTAAACAAGAACTCTCTGTACTATCTTAACAATTTTACTCTAAATCTAAAATCAATACAAAATAAACATTTATTTTAAAAAAAGAAAGGTGGTAAACTTGATCATAAGGAAATAAAAAGTTAGTTATGTTACCGGGTTTTTGTTTTGTTTTAAGTCATTATTATGAAGCAGCTGTGGTCAGATTTTTACTCTTAATTTTCCCATAGTAAAAAATTTAAAACTCATACAAAAGTTGGGAAAATAAAACAATGAATCCTCATATTCCTATCAACAAGCTTCAAAAATTCTCAACTCATGGCTGCGTTTGTTCCTTCTATAGCATTCCATACATCTCCCTACTCAATCCTGTATTCTTTTGAAGCAGATCCCAGACAATGTATCATTTCAGCTATAAATATGTCAACATCTACCTTTAAAAGACAAAAACTCCTCTTAAAAAACAGATACAATAAGACCACCTCTCTCACACTCAACAAATCTTTAATATTATTAAAAATCAAGGTAGTGCCCAGCCGGCATGGCTCAGTGGTTGAGCACTGACCTATGAAGCAGGAAGTCATGTTTGATTCTCGGTCAGGGCATATGCCCGGGATTGGGGGCTCAATCCCCAGTAGGGGATGTGCAGGAGGCAACTGATCAATGATTCTCTCTCACCATTGATGTTTCTCTCTCTCTCCCTCCCTTTCTATGTGAAATCAATAAAAATATATTTTTTAAAAACCACACAAATCAAGGTAGTGTTCCCTCAATTAACCCATAAATGTTCTTTTTATCCTCCAGTTTAAAACAAAATTGAAGATTCTTACATTGCAATTAGTTAATATGTTTCTTAAATCTTTTTTAATCTATAGATTTGTCCTCCATCATTTTTTTTCCCCTTTGCAATTTGTTGGGGAAAAAAGTGAGTCATTTATTCTGCAGTTTCCCACAGTCTGTTTTTCTGCTGAATGAATCCCCATGGTGTAATTGAACATGTTCCTTTGTCTCTTCTCTTTCCTGTAAATTAGTAGTTAGAACTAGAGGCTTGATCAGATTCAGGGTTTTATATTTTGTTTATAAAGAACATTTCAGAGGTTGGTTGTGTACTTTCGAGAGGACATTGCTAGCATTCTGTCTTCATTTATCAGCAGGAATACCTCCAAAATGAAAAATTTCCCCTCACCGACTATTTGGCTACTCTGAAGATTGCTCATTATATGAAAGGCAAAATAAAACACCTGATCATTTCCCTAAAACAATTATTGGTTCCCTAGTATTCTCTAAAGGTTTTTGTTTGTTTTTACATATTCCTGTAACTCAAAAATTTAAAAATGAATTTTTTCATCCATTACAGTATTTCTCCTTATTGGTGGTTAAATTGTCCTTTGTCCAGTGGGAGCCTATTCAAGTTGGTTCTGGAATGCTTTAGACCAGGGGTAGGGAACCTTTTTTCTGCCAAAGGCTATTTGGATATTTATAACATCATTTGCGGGCCATACAAAATTATCAACTTAAAAATTAGCCTGCTGCCAAAACCGGTTTGGCTCAGTGGATAGAGCGTCGGCCTGCAGACTGAAAGGTCCCAGGTTCGATTCCGGTCAAGGGCATGTACCTGGGTTGTGGGCACATCCCCAGTAGGAGATGTGCAGGAGGCAGCTGATTGATGTTTCTCTCTCATCGATGTTTCTAACTCTCTATCTCTCTCCCTTCCTCTCTGTAAAAAATCAATAAAATATATTTTTTTAAAAAAAATTAGCCTGCTATATTTGATCAAACATTTAATTAACTCACCCCTAGTGCCTTGGCAGGGCTGGACCAAATGATTTCATGGGCCTTATGCAGCCCATGGGCTGGACGTACCCGACCCGCTTTAGACAAAACTTGAATGTTTTTTAGTAGTTTCTTTACTTCTGGTATGGCCTGATGCTCCAGGCTCATCTGTACATTTCCTGACTCAGACTGGGAATCAGTAGGTCTCTAAATACCACTAGTATTTACAAATAATATTTGGAGACTGAGCACTAGTGGTGTTCACTCTACTAGGTTGGTCATTATTTCTAGAACTTTCAGTGGACAAGGCTAGGAGATAACTATTTTTTAAAAAGAAAGAAAACTTTTTAAGTTCTCACTCATTAGTCAAATTTAAATTCAGGACTACAGGGTTTTTAATTACCCTCCTCTGCCTCATCTCTTTCCAGTTCTCAAGTCACCAATATAATTACTCATTTGCTTTATTACCAATTTAAACAAATAATACTAATACTAGCATCAACAAAATGATTACGGAAAACAGTTTTTTTGTTTTGGGGTTATTTTTGTTGTTGTTGTTGTGAAGGGAGATTCCTCTAGGAATGTAGTCAAATTACTGTGTTTTAAAGTTACTTAGGATAATTTCTCTCTGCATGGCAATACCAAAATCTACAAACATAGGTTTGCTTTTTTACATTTTTTAGTTGATATGGAGAGAATTACTCATTAAAATTTAACTTTCTTTTATTTATGTAAAATATTTACATGGCTCCAAAATTCTCTCTCTCTCTCTTCAAAAAAGTCTAGCTTCTATCCCTATCCTTTACATCCTATTCCCTCTACCACTCTCTCTTTAGGTAATTCTTTAAATTTTTTTATTCCACCATTGTTTTAAGTATAAGGATATACATCCACACACATCCATCAACATATAAATGTGTACATATACACACATGCATATATAAAATGTATATAAACATATATGTGTACATACGTACATTTTTAATTCTTTCCTTTCTAAAAAGAATAACAGAATTTTCTTATCTCACTTTATGAGTCATTCATAAACACACACATAATATATATAATCTTTATGTGGTCTATTTGTTCTAGTGTTTAGAAAAGCTGGCATTTTTGTTCTCATGATTTTGTTTATACAAAAGAATGGTATCTCAATTCAAATAGAAAGGCATCAATGAACAGAGAGGGGAACTCTTCAGCTCCATTCAGAGTATAAGTCTTATCCTGGGGTCCACGGTTGGGATTGGGGTTCTAGAACCCCCTTGAAATTGCACTCAAATTGAGTGTACATGTCCTCTTTCTATTTTTCTTGGAAGGAAAATTCTCCAAGGAGTCCATGACCTCCTAAAGTTAAGAACCACTTTATTTAAAGAGTTATTGAAAGTTATTTCTGGTAGCATGCAACTTGGCAGTCACACATTGTAGCAAGTGAATTTGTAGTCTCACCTCTCTAATAGCCTATTAATGATAATAATTAAATGATACAACAAATAGACCCAATGATAATGTTACATGAAACAGGGTGTCAGAAATAGTCTCTGCCCTTAA